AAGTGTTTTTGGGTTCCTCAAGCAGTGATATGGGTGACCAATGAAAGACCATCCTACTATGCAATTAGGAAAAGTCTTGGACCTGGTGTCCTGCCCTCAGCTAATAATGGAATCTTCTACTCTTCCTACCAGTCCATCCCCTACAGTTACTACCTTTTGTACCACTAGCCTCTCCTTCCTAGATTGTAAGCTCCAAGGAGCAGGGCTCTCCTATCACTCTTGTATTGAACTGTATTATTTCTGTATTGTTTCCCGCTATATTGTAAAGCGCTGAGCACACTGTTGGCGCTATATAAATCCCGTATAATAATAATCTCTTAGATTATAAACTCCAAGGAGCAGGGCCCTCCTAACCCTCTTGTATTGAACTGTATTGTTGATGTATTGTCTCCGTTATATTGTAAAGCGCTGAGCAAACTGTTGGCGCTATATAAATCCTGTATAATAATAATAATCTCTTAGATTGTAAGCTCCAAGGAGCAGGGCCCTCCTAACCCTCTTGTATTGAACTGTATTGTTGCTGTATTGTCTCCCGTTCTATTGTAAAGCGCTGAGCAAACTGTTGGCGCTATATAAATCCTGTATAATATTAATAATTTATGTGCATAAAAAGGGCTTCTAGCTTTTTCTATTGATTAGTTAGAGGGTGATGTGACTGGGGGGGGGGGGGTAAAAAGGTAGGGGGAGGGAGATCAGCTGCCCAGACATGATTTTTATAACTTTTGTTTTCTAAAACTGTCCAGGAAAGTTGAAGCATTGCTTCCAGTACAGAAAGTGTCTTTATGTATTGTCATTGTAAAGGGTTTTTAGGAGTGTAAATAAGTTGATTGGATCATACCTTGTTTTTGGGAAGTCGTTTCTGATCATGAAACTGTCTGTACCTGCAAAGAAGAATTGATTGTGGGTTCATGCATATGTTTTCCTTACAAGGTCCATTGTCCTGTCCACACTCTGCAGTACATTTCTCCACAGAGCTGTGACTGCAGTATAGCCATTTTAGTGTTCTTTTATTCTTACGCACTTAGATGACACTTGTGTGTATGTACTCTAGGAGACAAATGTAAAAAAAATTCTTTCATTCTTTTATTACAGTTCTGCAGAAAGAGGCATACCCTCAAATGTTTATAGTTTTAGCACCTGATACATATTACATGCTTGGTCAAATTTACGCTACAGTATCTTATTTTCTTTACGTTGAGACTATTACTAACACATGTAGAATGTTTGTGCCATTAAATAAGTCTGGCATTACTTTCCCCTAGTAAGTAGTGCTAATTTTGTGTTTATTATAAGTACAAACAGATATTTTGCATGTAACTAAATGTTTCTTAGTCTGTCTGATAAAGAAGAGCTAAAAAGAACTGCAGATTTAATTTCAAACAGCCTCCTTTTAGCTTGATCTACAGACTTCATATACAAGAAAAATGGCATGATCAGCAGACTGGAGTCTTTACTAAAATAAAAGGGCAGATGAAAAGATCAAAGGGACTTCTTCAGATATGATCATCAGTTTTTCTTCACCAAGAAATATACTGAAATTGCACCTTCTGTCCTTGATTTGCCATGCTCACATAAATGAGCTTAATCAAGAAAGTTGTGCAAAGTCAAATGCCTATTTGCAAAGAGCAGTAAACACTGGCAACACATTAGAGTTCATGCTTTTATGGATTTCTCATAGATCATTATGTGTTATTGCACTTTACACAATGTAGGTTATTTACTACAACTACATGGTGCAGCTCTGCATACAAACCAATCAGCTTCCAGGTTTTATCTGTTTTCTCGATAGTTTCAACCTACCCTATTACTTGTCAACTGCGCTATAGCCAAATTACTGCTACAGTGTGGTTGTCCAGTTCTGGGAGGGCGTCATATGACGTCCTCCCAGAATGCTCCCTCCTGCGTGCCCCCAGAAGCGAGTACTCGGAGATCTCAGTGATCGCTGTGTCCTACGGACACAGCTGATCACGTGATGTGGTAAACGGCCAATCACAGCGGCCTTTTACCATGTGATCAGCTGTTTTCAATGACACAGCAGATCACCAGGTAAAAACAGTTGCCGGTTATCGGCTGCACTTTCCTGATATAAGGGCAGGGGGAACTTTGAGGACAAAATTAAAGAGAATGGGCTCTAAGGACCCTGATGTAAGGTGGGGGCTCTGAAGGTAATGCTGTATAGGGGGACCCTGATGTATTGGGGGGACTTTTGGGACCCTGATGTAAGGGAAGAGGGGAACTCTGGGGACCCTTATTTAAGGAGGGGGATTTGGGTCTCTGGGGGACCATGATGTATCGGGAGGGTCTATGGGTGGGGGGACTCTGGAGACCACAATGTAATCGTGGACCCTGATGTATTTTGGGGGGGAGTCTTGGGACCCTGATGTAAGTGGTAGGGCCTATGGGAACTGTTGTGGACTTTTGAAATTATTTATCAAAACATAACCTTAATTCTGACAGCAAACCAGCCTAGCCATATGTTAAGGGTTAACTTGTCTTGGTTGAAAATTCAAAGGACCCTCCAGTTAAGAAATGTACATAATGAGTGAAGTGAGCTTTTTCCAAGACAATAGACTGTTTGGACTGTCAACAGGTAGTTTAAGACCGGACAATTGTAAGGTTTAAATTGGAGACTGTGAAAATAGTTAAAGAATGGGATATGTCAACATATACTGTTTATATATTGGGGTTGAGTTGAATACATCTACAAAAGTTAAATAGACAGCCAAATAGGTCTTCAACCTTCAAATATTAAGTCATAACACATGAACAATAATGAGACGTAAACTCAACTGGTTGAAAGTTTGCCCAGGACCTTGCAGAGTGTGATGAACCAACAAACCTCTCGAACTATCACAATATGCTATTATCCACTAAGGTTGAAAGTATAAATGGCTGTTTACTCTGACTCCAACACAATAGCCAGGTAAACAGAGGGTCTTTCCTACGCATGGGAATGTTTGGTTCTAACACAAAAAGGTTAAATTCAGGACATATAAGGCTAAGATTGGATATATATTACCCACAGAGATATTACCAAAAAGCATGGTATCAATGGATGTTATAAAGAATATGTTTCACACACCACAAAATATTCAGCAGAAGGGGGATTGTATATCACTAAATTAAGTATTGAGATGAGAAAAAGTAAGATATATTGTGAATTAGCAGCAGTTGTATGTCTTACCAGGAAACAAATGCTTTCACACAATTTTGTATCTCAGGAAGATGAATAACTGAATATACATATATCTTCCATAGTTCTTATCTAGGACATTATAGGTATAATCAAATATATATATTGGGATAAGACGTATATCTAATACCTGAAATCACCTTGAGTTCCACCCGAGGTGTGAGTCATCATAAATACTCAAATTGTTCTATGGTACATGACTGCCATCTGGCGGATAGGTGAGAAATAGCTTATGTACATACATTTCTCAACCAGCCAATCAAGAAGCCTGGTGGGAGGGTATCTTAGAACAATAGTTTAGATGGTATAAAAAACCCATGCACCTCATTTAGAAAGGACTCATTGAAAAAAAGATCATCGGAAAAAAAAAACCTCATTGAAAAAGGAACAACTGACTGAAGAACCTGACTGGAAACTGACTGAAGATATCTGAAGAAGCTGAAATCCATCTCTGCTGTCTATCAACTCTTCCATCCTTTCAAACTTCTAAAAACTTTACAAAATTTCTAAATCTCTGTACTTCTAACTTCCTACATTCTCCTACACTATTGAACTATATCTCACTTCCCCCTGTGGTCATCATTCTGAAGGCGTTCCATTGCCAGCTAGATCCACTGGGAGGTGTCATATTCATAGATCTGGGTGTGGTGAGACTGTCCATTTAATTTTATATTGCATATTTTCTCTGTTGTGTAGAGTAATAAGTATTACCTTAGTGTATAACAACTGTATTGGATGGTTATATATATATAGAGAGATCCCGTATTACTGTTAGATATAGTTGGTGTCATATTACACATTTTTCATATTTTATAAATTATTAAATATTAAATAATTAGAGTATAATTTATCAGGGAATATCTTCTTCCATTGCTATGGCCACGTAATGAGATAAAATAACCTCTGAAATACTCTAAAATTATTAGTTATTAATAAATTTAATTTTTAATCATTATCATTTAGAAATTTGTTATATTGATTTCATTATTTAGAAACATTATATTGTGTATGATATTGGTGTAGTATATCTTTGACCGTGTGTATTAGTATTCATTCATCACCAGTCTTTTGCGTTTTGTGTTAATATATATATAATTTTTGTACATAAATAAATTTTTATATTTATCTATTATAAGGCAAATTTTGTGTGTATGGTACGAAATCATACTGGCTAAAAGAATTCAAGGTCTAATAATAAGTGGTGATCAAATTATCAAGGTGTCCAAATTATTGGTTTACTAAATATTTGCCGCATTTTAACGGCTGGAGGCACTGTAATATTTCATCTAAGGGAAAGGGACACCGCCCTTTACAAGTAGAATAAATCCTTACCTAAACCACCACAGAACCCAGATTTAAGAAGGGGGGCTCTGGGGGACCATGATGTAAAGGGAGGGCCTGTGGGGACCCTGATGTAAGGTTGGGGGGACTCTGGAGATCAAGATGTAAAGGACTGACCCTTATGTATAAAGGGATGGGCTATGGGGACCCTGATGCACATAAGGTGGGGAGACTCTGGAGACCATGATTTAAAGGGGATCCTGATTTATTGGGGGGGGATTTTTGGACCCTAATGTTGAAGGGGGACTCTTGGGACCCTGATTTAAGGAGGTGGAAATTTGGGGACCCTGATGCAAGGGCAGGGGTTGTGGGGACCCTCTCCTGTATCTTGTCCACAGTCTCTGACCGTCTGCTGGGGTGGAGCTTTAATAGGAAGACGTGGAGCCTAAAGTAGAAGGGGCGAAGTTTACAGATGAAGAGGTGGATCCTAAACAGGAAAGGGTGGGACCAGGGGCAGACTGACAACTCATGGGGCCCCCGGGCAATAAGGGATTATGGGGCCCCTGTGTCCTTGCCCAAACTCAAAAAAAAGTCTATGAAAAAGGTACCAGGGGCATCTAATGAGGCCCCCTACTGACCCCGGGCCCTCGGGCAGTGCCCGAGTTTCCAAATGGTCAGTCCGCCCCTGGGTGGGCCAAATTTAGATGGGGGCGTGATTTTAGTCTTGCCTAGGGCAGCACAAAATCAAAATATACCATTGGTTGCACCCGTCAGTGCTGCCCAGCAGTGCCGCCAGTCAGTGCCCAGCAGTGCCACCAGTCAGTGCCATCAGTCAGTGCTGCCCATCAGTGCCCATCAGTGCTGTCCATCAGTGCCTTCTATCAGTGCCCATCATTGCTGCACATCAGTGCAGCATCATCAGTGCTGCCTATCAGTATCCATCAGTGCTGCTTATCCATGCCACCTCATCAGTGCTGTCTATCAGTGCCCATCAGTACTGCCTATCAGTGCAGCCTCATCAATGCACATCAGTAAAGGAGAAAAATTACCTGCTGGCAAAATTGTATAATAGAAACAAAGAAAAACTTTTTTTTTCAACTGTTGTGCTCTTTTTTTGTTTATAGCACAAAAAATAAACCACCCAGTGGTGATTAATTGCCACCAAAAGAAAGCTCTATTTGTGCGAAAATGTTATAAAAATTTCATATGGGTAGTGTTGCATGACCACGCAATTGTCATTCAAAGTGTGACAGTGCTGAAAGCTGAATATTGGCCTGGGTAGGAAGGGGGTATACGTGCCTGGTAGACAAGTGGTTAATAAAGCTTCAATTTTTTCCTTCATGCACACTCTCTAGTTCTTACATTTCTACATACAAGACAAGTTTAGCCTATCATAAATTCATTATTGTTGGTCCAGAGTAAGGCAACCATAAATGAACTTTTGGCCAGGCTGAAAACATTTAAAGTGATTCTAAAAGCTTACAAAAAAAATAAACATGTCTATACTTACCTGCTCTGGGCAATGGTTTTGCACAGAGCAGCCCAAGTCCTCCTCTTCTTGGGTTCCCCGCCGGCACTCCTGGCCCCTCCCTCCTGTCAGGGGCCCCCACAGCAAGCAGCTTGCTATGGGGGCACCCACTGCTCCATGTGTCCATTTACACACGCAGCTGTGGCTTGGCCCTGCCCCCTCTCTCTTCGTATTTGTTCACTGGCTATGATTGAGAGCAGTAAGAGCCAATGGCTCCTGCTGCTGACTCAGCCAATGAGGAGAGATGTCCTGGGATAGCCAAGAATTCAGTGCACATCTCTGGATCAAGAGAGGGCTTAGGTGAGTATTGGGGGGGGGGGGGGGGCTGCTGCACAGAGATTTTTTACTTTCACGCAAAGAATGCATGAAGGTAAAAACCTTGAACCTATAGAACTACTTTGAGTATTTACAGCTTAAAGTTATCAATAAACATTAAAACAATCCATCACTGTCCTCTGTAGCTGCTGGCACTGTGGAGCAGTTCATCAAATTTCACAGTAGATGCACTGAAAATTTTCAGTAATTCTGAAGCTCAGCACTCCTTCTCCATCTTCCCAGATCACCTTATTTGTGTTTACATTAAAATGTTGGATGGCTTAAGTGTCACAGCTCATTCAATGCTTGTTAAAAATACATATAAATAATTGAATGCCCAAAGCCTAACCATGGAGTAAAGTAAGTCCAATAGTGTTATAAGCACTATTTATCCAAAAGATTTTTTTTTTTCCTTTCTTATAAATATCCTGCTGTTTCTGGTTGTGACAGACCCAACCGGGACAGGGGCCTTTGGAGGAGACTGCAGGCTAGCCTCTTACCTACAGACTATGAGCCCTGGCATTCCCAGGCGGTCTCCCATCCAAGAACTAACCAAGCCCAACCCTGCTTAGCCTTCAAGATCAGCCTAGATAGGGCATAATTAGGGTGATGTATTCTGTAGGCAAGAGGCTAGCCTGCAGTCCCCTCCAAAAGCCCCTGTCCCGGTTGGGTCTGTCACACTAGCATTTAGTTAGCTTCTACTTTAGGGGTAAGTCTCTGCCCTAATCTAGTCCCTGTGGGTGAATCTTTCTTTCTCCTGCCTTGGGCTTTATCAGTTCAGTACTGGGAGGATAGCTTTGAGCATAGCCTATATCTAACAGCACATACTTTGCTTACAGGCAGTTATTTACCACTGAACAGGATTGTCAAATACAATGAAAGAGATGTTGCTGTTATTGAAAACCGTGTAACACCTTACCATTAGTTGGACTCTATAGTGTTGCTTTAACCCTTCAGTAAAAAAACAGAAAGGCAAGTTCCCCCTCAGAACATTTTATTATTGAGCATGTTGAGATGACTGTGATGCAGTGCTTGGTGTGAAGGATCCATATACTGTTGCAGGGACCTGTGAAAAGAAGGACATTTATACTGGTATCCTTTCCAGTGGTTCTCAGGGTGTCAGGCAGTGCATTGAGGAGTGTAAGAGACAGAGAGCCTGTTCTGTAGAAACTTTGTGCACATTAAGTCTCTGTACAGATACAGATGAACTGGGTAAACCAGGTCTGTGAGGTTGTCAGACCCCAGAAGTCACATAATGTTGAGTACTCTAGCTGCAGGGAAGAGGTCACCAAACATCTCCTCCCTAGCAGGGGAACTGACTTTTTAATCACCCTAGAGGGAACTACAAGTTAAGTAGACTTTATAAATTTGCTATATAACATATAAAGAGCTAGAGGGGTATGAATAACGCTGCTGTTAGAAATCACAAGACCCATTACAGCCTACCTGACAGCTCCCCTTTACCAAAAAAAAAATCATATAGACAGTGTGCCTACAGGACCACTCACTCACACCTGCCCACTTATCAACAGGCGGTTCCATAAAACTGCTCATTTACACTGTGTGGACCAGAAAACCAATGTAAATTTGCAATTTTTAAAAAAAAAATATTAAATTTTTTACTTTTTTATTCTTGCAATGCTGTTGGGGGGCTTGGTGAGATATCAGGGGTCTAAACAGACCATCTGACATCTCACCCTTGAGACAGAGAAAGGAATTGAGGACACAGATTCTTCAATTCCTCTCTCTGCAGCCTCAGCTGCACTGAAGATGAATGAACAGGAGACAGAGGCTCCTGTTAATTCATAAACTGGAGCATAATAAACACAGTTTACTTTGCTCAAGTATGAATGGACACAGTGAGTGATTGGTACCAATAACTTACTGTGTACATTTAGAAAAGGGCAGGTAAATTACATATTTACAGGTCCCGGTAAATTACATACTGTATTTACAGGTCCCGGTAAATTATATATTTACAGGTCCCAGTAAATGACATATTTACAGGTCCCTTCAACTGCTCTCCATCCTGACACATTCCCCTGTGCACCCGCAGCAGCTGGCAGGGAAGGGAAGCTGGCAGAGCCTCAGTAGGAGGGCTCGAGCACACAAGGAAGGCACACAGGGGAAATAAGATGTGGGCAGGACAGGAAAGGGGATTTGTGTGGCGAGGGGCAATTACAGAACAATGAACTGTGTCTGTGTCTCTCCCTGCAGCAGCTGAAAAGTCGACAGGAGGGAGAGGGGAAAAACAGCTGCTGTAGGCAGAGGCACAGACACAGGGCATCATTCTGTAATGCCCCCCCCCCCATTGGGTCTCCCTGCCGTCTAGGCCTCCCCTGTGTGCCCAGCAATTTGCTGGAGGACCGCCAGTCGGAGCGGAAGTAGGAGTGGGTACATGTCAACATCAGGTACCTGCCCCCCCCAAAAGGTGTCAATCCTTAATGGGGAGCAGGGAACGAGTCCTTCAAGCGGAACTTCCCCTTTTTGGTGGAGCTCCCCTTTAAGCTTAAAATAAAGCTGATATACCTTACTGCACTGAAACTCTTCACTCCTTGCCTTTTTAAATAATAGCAGCCTGGACAGTGTGTTCATATACAAAGGTTTCCTTGCTAAAATGAGTGACATTATTTATTCATAATGTAAAGAAAATAGTTATTTTTTATGTAGTTGTATGAGTTACATTACATGCTTTGTTCAGAGATCAGTGCAGATATGTTGAGAGATAGGTAAAATTTGCATCTGTAACATTTTAGCACCTTTACAGATACTTAAGTGCTATATAAACCATAAAGAGCTTCCAAATTAAATGCTATATGAAACCTTCCTGGAGTTCTTTGATGTAATCTGCAACCTTTTAAAATGCAATAAACTTGAAGATACAGCATTTTAAGCAATCACAATGAAGTCGACACAAAAGAAGCTTCCTATAAATCATATTAAATTATTTATGGAGAAAAAAAACATATTCTGTATTTAGTTTATTATTTTGTTTTCATGAAGTCATTTAGAAAGCAATGTTACTTTGCGCTCATTAATTATATTTCTTGGGTTAGATGAAACAGAACTTTCCACCATCACTGACACTTTATTTTTATCTAAACATTTTTTTCATGTAAACTATGTCCATATAAAACGAATTCCTTTGTTGTAATGTTGGCATACTCATGGTGTGATCCATCATTCCCATGCCTTGATAAAAATAATGGTGATTATTTTTTAACAAAGCAATGTGATCTTACAATTACGGCAACAGTTACCTTTGTACAGTAAACATGACATGCAATAGGGCAGAAGCCACTGCTATGAATTGTGTTTCTCATTGTAGCATTTAAATAATACATTCACCTTTAGCAACACTGTCTTTAGGGTGTAACCAGGGGCAGACTGACAACTCATGGGGCCCCCGGGCAATAGGGGATCATGGGGCCCCTGTGTCCTCGCCTACACTCAAACCACACCCAAAAAAGCCTATAAAAGGTACCAGGGGCATCTCATGGGGCCCCCTACTGACTCAGGGCCCTCGGGCACTGCCCGAGTGCTTGAATGGTCAGTCCGCCACTGAGTGTAACATATAACACATTAACAAAGAGCATTTGCCCTCCCCCCCCCCCAATCCCCTGGGGTATACTCTCCCTGCACCCACTGCCACAATTTAAAAAGAGCATACCTGCAAGGGGCTCCGCTCACACAGCTGTGTCGTTCATTCTCAGGGATCGCGAAAGAATGATCTCCAAGTCCCATCTTCCATCGTGGCAGACAGCTTGTAGTTCTCAATGAACTGCGAGGGCACTGATGGAGCACTCTCAGTTCATGGACACATCCTCCAGCTTGTTAACAGAAAGCCAGTAAAGAGGTACAGGCTGAAGGTTGTAGGTAATATTTTCAGGAGCTTGACATTGCACCCGTGATCTTCTGATCGCAGCTGCAATACTATGAAGGCTCTTGAAAAAAAACATAATAAATGCAATTTTTTATTCTTGAAAATATATGTGCATTTATTTTATATTTTTTTAAATACAATCTGCATAGTAGTTGCTGAAACACAAGTTAGATGGCTAAAATTTTCAGAATTCTTGGTATGAAGGTGAGATTTTATTTGATCCAGCATAGCACCAATTTTTCTAAGTGATGCAGAGACTCTGGGTTAATCATTTCAGAAAAACAATATATATACATTTTCACCAAGTGATGGCATGAACCTAATGGCACAAATAGTAATAAAGTCTTACCTAAAAATGCATAACTGAAGTGATTGTATGCAATTGATCTGACTGACAGATCAGTTATCTGGGCTTTTCTCTTTCCAGCTTTCTTTTTCTCCTTTCGTGAAAATAAATAGTCTTTGCTTGTTTCAGAGCCTGAAAGCAAGTGAACAGCTAGGTACATTTGTAAAATATAGCACTGTGCTTTATAAATGTGCCCTTTTTAATCACTTCAATACCGAACACTTTTAACCCCTTCCTGCCCAGGCCAAATTTTCAGTTTTAAGCGCTCTCATATTTTGAATGACAATTACTCCATTATGCAACACTGTACCCAAATGAAATTTTTATATTTTTTTAGAGACAGATTGAGATTTCTTTTGGTGGTATTTAATTACCACTGAGTTTTGTCTTTTTTTCTATGTAAGTGAAAAAAACACTTTTTTCTTAATTTCTGTTACAAATATTTGCAAAGAAATAATCTTTCTTCATAAACTTAGGCCAAAATGTCTACAAACTATGGTATATAAATTGGCAAAGAGATTTCTCACAAACAGCATAGGCATACTTATAATTATACCACAAAACATATTCTGCTATGTCTATGAGTATGGGAATACCACATGTGTGAGACTTTTTCACTGCCTAGATGCATATAGGGGCCCAAAACCCAAGGAACACATTTGGGCTTTCAAGGAGCATCTATTTTCCTGATTACCTATCACATTTTTGGAAGCCCTGGAGCACCAGGACAGTAGAAACTTCCACAAAATGTCCCATTTTGGAAACCAAAACTGTCCAAGGTATTTTCTGAAAAGCATAATGAGTCTTTTTTTTTTTTTCCAAAAATACTTTATTAGAAAAAGTAAGGTATAGCAATATACATACAAATACGGATCACAGTCCGGACATAGACACAGCATGTAGCATCCCGTTTCGCAGACGGGCCGTGGGTTTAAACTGTAGTACAAATCGAGGTGAGATATATCATTATGTCAAATATATATAACAAACCAGCAGATAAGAAAAGTATAATAGATAAATTGATGTAGGTATATTGCTCATATTGATTACCGATCTATTGATTTGTCAGTCTGTATAATAAGGGAATGTGAAGTGTTAGGTAAGGAAAGCACAGGATGATGTGTATGCCTTGATTTGTGCATCCAGGTCAAGAGCGTGTACGCCATGTGAAACCAGTCACACCTGTATACGAGATTAAATGCTATATTTGTGGGAAATATATAAATACGGAAGGCGTATAAAAGGTGTTAGATAAAGAGAAGTCAGAAAGGAGAATAGTTATAGAAGAAGATAAAAATTGAGGTAGTAGGGGGGGAATAAGAAAAAAAAAAAGGGGAGGGGGGTGGAGAAGGAGGGGAACTGGTATGGAGCAAAGGGGATGTTAAAGTGAGTAATTGTGAATAAAATAAATCTCATCATTGTGTATGAGCCAGAAAGATAGTCATATAACTTAGGATGTAAGACGTGCAAGATCATTCAATGAGGCAACACGTGGGTCAGGAACCTGAAAGGCAGGCTACTATGCCGAGTCTCAGCCCGTCTAAATGTGCATCAAATGTGTCTTTGGTGGACAGGGCGTTCCCGAGTACAACATTGTGTCTAATCATTCAGTCAGGTGGTATAGGCTGTTCATGCACTAGGAGGTGAAAGGTAGTGGTGGATTTGAAATGACTCCAACAAGCCCATGTCCTCCTGAATCTCTCGGGATGTTCTTTTGCTACAGAGAACAATTCCTCCATTTCCTCCATTTTGTTGTTCCTAGCAAACCATTCTCGACTAGTGGGAACATGTGTTGAGCGCCAGTGGACTGGGATACATTGTTTTACCGCATTGACCATGAGCATGGCGAGTGATTTACGTTACGTCATAAATGGAAGTGTGGATTGGTGGAGCAAAAATTGTGCGGGGGAGAGGTCTAGGGAGTTCATAGTTACTTGCCTGATTATGGGTTGGATTTTCTCCCAGAAAGGCTGCAGCAATGGGCAGTCCCACCAGATATGCAAGAGTGTACCCATTGCCTGGTGACATCTCCAACACGAATCTGAGATGTTAGGGTCAAATTTGTGAAGCAGGGATGGAACTCTGTACCATCTAGAATATAGTTTAAAATTGTTTTCTTGTGTAGAGACACATATGGACCCTTTGTGTAAATGTTTGTAAATGTGATCCCAGTCTTCTGGCGATAGTTGGAGTTGTAAGTCAGAGCTCCAGGCCTTGCAAGCTTTCCTAGAGGGAAGGTCAGTGGGATTTTTTTCGAGGCATGTGTAGAGCTTAGATATAACATGTCTCTGGGGAGAGTCTGTTTTCAAAAGGGGTGAGTGGTCTAGTATAATTTTTTAGATGGGAGGAGCTATGTATAAAGTGGTGGAGCTGTCTGTACATCCACGGTGTCAGGGTTAGGATAGCCATTTGTTCAGAAGAAAGTCTCTGGGTAAGAGCGTCTCATCTTGGAAAAGTTGATGCAAATTATCTGTGGGGTTAGACCCGGCGAGAAAGGCACGAGACATACCAGGGGGAAAGTCTGGGTTCATTTTAATAGGAGTGAGTGGGCCAGGAGTGGAAGAGAGACCTGTTTTCTGACTTATCTGATATTAACACGATAGAGTGGGGCCGATAAGAAGGTGCTCTCTGAACTCAGATGGAATGTGGGAATTTTTCAGCCAAGGGGAAAACGCAGCTTCCAAATTAACCCAAGCCTTACGGTTGTGGTTTGTAGACCAATCTACTATCCTTGCCATGTGACAGGCTCTATAGTAGCGGGCGATATCAGGTAATCCAATACCTCCGCTCGTCTTAGGCATGGTAAGTTGTTCAAAACCGATTCTAGGGCATTTATTACACCATAGGAACCATATAAAACGAGGTGCATAATGTTTTATAAGACTTGAAGAAGGAGTTAGGCAGTTTGATTGGAATTGTTTGCATCAGGTATAGTAGTCTAGGAAGTACGTTCATCTTGAGGATCGCCGCTCTGCCAAACCAAGAGAAAAAAGGCTTGTCCCATGTCTGTAGATCCTTCATGATACTACGTAGGATGGGTAAAAAGTTTTTTGGCATAGAGTTCTGTAAGGTTAGTCGGCAATTGAATTCCTAAGTAAGTGATGGCCTCGGACTGCCATGCGAAAAGAAAGTTCCTTTTCGCCTGTCTGACCGCGTCTTGAGTTAGGGAAATATTGAGGGCTTGGGATTATTAAAGTTAATTTTTAAATTTGCCAAATACTGAAACAATTTGATATTATGTAGTAAATTAGGAAGTGTAATATGGGGGTCTGTCAGGAAAAGTAAAATGTCATCAGCAAAGGCTGCTATTTTGTGAATTTTGCCATTGATTAAAATTCCTTTGATATTGTCATTCTGTTTAATGCAGTTCAAAAAAGGTTCCAACGTAAGAATGAATAGGAGGGGGGATAATGGACAACCCTGTCTGGTCCCATTGCTTATTGAAAAAGCATCTGAAAGGAGGCCTTTGACTCTCACTTTAGCAGTTGGTGTTGTATATAGAGATATGATAAAGTTCAAGAGACGTGGAGGAAGCCCAAGGCCAGTCAGAATGGCCTCTATGTAGTCCCATGCCGAAGGCCTTCTCAGCATCTAGAGAGAGGAAGAAGCCAGATTGTTTCTTCTGTGTGTCAACCAATGGTGTATATTTATTGCCCTTATCGTATTGTCTCTAGCCTCTCTACCGGTACGAACCCCACCTGGTCAGTAGAAATAATGGGGTCTATGATGCGAAGTAAACGATTGGCCAGTATTTTGGCAAAAATCCAGCTACGCCGTCCTGTAGTAGGAATCATATGTGTTGGTGAGATACTTAATGTATTGTGTGTGTATGTGAAATTTAAATCGGAGATGTGTCGAACCCAGAGGCGGCCGCTAGGGGGGGATCGCTGGAGCATCCCAGGAAGACCGTCCAGGACCTACTAGGTATCTCTCGGATGAAAAGTGTGTATAAGATAGGGTCCAATAAAAGATAGCAGTGACATAGGTGAATGGCAGCAGATTTTTGTAGGCAGAGGTGTTCAATTTGTAAGAAAGGGGCACAGGTAGGAGATTTTATATGTAGAGGAGTGTTAGCTATAATAATGTGGGTAGTCATGTGTACATCCAAGGATGTTCACTAATAAGTATGGAGGTATGATGCTCTGAAGGACGGTTCCTATGTGTCTAGTTGTATGTAATACTGTCTTGGGAAGGCATCAAGGTGGGGCTATGAAACAGGATGTGGCATAGTCATATGTTTATAAAACTATATTATCAAAAGATACACAGTACACATGAATAGTAGGTTTCGCTCTGTAGTTGTCCATGAGCCATACATTGCGATCACAAAAAGGAAATGCAAAAAGGTCTCCTTATATTGTGTCAGTGCAGACTGCGGATATAAACCTTACAGTATATGAAACCATGCAGGGAAACTTCAATTACAGAACTCATTAACATTCAGGAATGCGGGCCGAGGGCAAACCATCTGGTCAAACTGCAGCCCTGAAACCCTGATATAAAAGAAATAATGGCCCCAACCGAGGCGTTCCACTCTGTACAGCGGGTCGCTATCATGGATGCGGGTCAACCTCAGAATTAGCGAGAATGTAATAGACCGCTGAAGTGTCATTGTGAACCTGTGACCTGTCGTGAGAGTGGTCCATAGTATTCTATTTACACATATCAGGAACTTGTACAACCATAGAGTGAACTGGTAGTATGCATAACAATTAAAGAAATCCCATACCTTAAACATATCTTAACACCTTGTCCAAGGGCAGTTAGGGAGTTTGCTTTGGAATATGATTTAGAACCTGGGTGTCAGAGGAAATCACACCTTATACTGGGAAGAATGTGAAGGCAGTCAAAATTTGAGGGAAAGGGAGAAGATGTACAGAGGATGGAGGGGGGGAAGGGAAGGGGTATGAGTGCATTGCCTCTGCCTCTGAAGAAGTGCGTGTGCACAAAACGCATCAGGAGGGGCCAAGATGCTGTGACGTTAAGCTGCCGTAGAAATGTGGAGGCCCGGCGGCCACCTTGCTTTCTGGACGGTTAGTCCCGATGCACACCGCTGCCATACTCTGCAATGTTCATTGTGCTGCATACTACTGTTATACTTTACATTTATTTTCATAGTGAATTACATTTGTTTTTCCCATGGTTACTTTCTTTAATAAATGATACATCCATTAATTACTACACTATGAGTACTTCTTATACTCCCCCTTGTGGAGTTATTTATTCATAGCACCTGCCTGATCCAGTAACTTCAAGGACTCCAGTGAAGGGAGATCCTGTACCCAAGCAACCTGCATCTACCTATCCCTTAAGGGGACCTCTGGCCAGCTGGATCTTCTTCTTACCATCCTGTGTGCTTCTACCAACATTACCCACTTAGAGGGAGGATTATCTCCGTGTTCCTGACCAGACCAACCATCCAGTGAGAGGACATCTTCCCCTATCCCAGACCAGATCCTAAAGGTGGCTTCTGTGGATTTTACTCATTGCACATTTACATTGTGCATCTGGTGAGTGCACAATCTCTCTATATTGCTTGGAACAACATCACGGATTATAAGGAGAGCACTATATAGACTATCTAGTAGCCTCTAGTGAAAATATGGAACATTTGTTTTTCAATATTTTTCTATTCTTTGCTAATTGACTGCTTTATTGTGCGTTTAGTCATTTGGACTACACTTTGCCTTATAATTTGCACCACATTTATAGCGCTGCACTATTTTTTATATATTCTGTATAGGGCTTTATCTGGTTTCCTTGAGTGTCCAGCAGCTTACCCCACAGAGCGCTCACTTTTATTGCTATTCTTTATACTTAGAATTACACCCCAAAACACATTTTGCTACTCCTCTCATGTATGGAAATAACACTTGTGTGATACTTTTTCACAATCATAACATTTTGGAAAGCAATCACTCCAAGGTATTTTTCAAAAGACATGAAGAGTCATTTGAAGACTTCATTTTTTGCCACAAGTTTTTGGAAATTGCAGAAAGAAAATTTAATTAAATTTTTTTACACAAAATTGTCAATTTGAGAAGATATTTCTCACACACAACAAAGAATACTTAGAATTACACCCCAAAACATATTCTGCTTCTCCTTTTGAGTATAGTGATACTGCATGTGTGAGACTTTTTCACTTTTTTCACTGCTTATATACCGGACATTGTATCTTGATCACACAAAACAACCAATTGTATCAAAACCAATGTACTGTAATAGTCACCTCTGTACAAGTCAAGGTCAAATACAAGATCACGAAATATAGCTTAGTATATTATCACTGATAACAGTCCCATATCCTATAAGCCATGCAAGCCTACTAAGCCTAGCCTACTGGTACATGGCTACCCCCAGGAATGTTATGTTCATTGACCAGGACGTACAGGAGGATGAAGAAAGGAAAGCACAAAAGAGTCCATGTGGTTCCAGGAGTACAGTTTTCCATAGGGGATGGCTGGGACTGGTGTCTCGCAGGGACATAGTCAGCCACACGTGCAAATGGGTCAGTTCAGGAAGCAGGCAGAGACATTGTCAGCAAACAGGCAAGGATCTGTCAAGCAACAGGCAGAAATGTGGTCAATAAACAGGCCAGGGCCACTACAGGCAGCAGGCATTGACAACACTGCACTGGTGTGATGGTGATCAGGAACATTGTTGCTGGCTGCACTAATCTGACACTGGGGACTAGTGTGGTAGCAATCAGGAACACTGCTGCTTACTTACACTGGTCAGGTGACAAAAGGACTGGTGTGGTGACATTCAGGGACACTGTTGCTGTCTTACACAGCAACTGTTGTGGCAGTGACCAGGGACACTGTAACTGGTGTGGCATTGATCACAGATAATATGACTTGTGTGGCAATGATCAAGGACACTGGGACTGGTATGCCTGTGATTAGCAAGAATATGACTGGTATGGTGATGATCAGGCACACTGTAACTGGTGTGGTGATGATTAGGGACAATATGACTGGCATGGAGATGATGAGAGACAATATGACTCATGTGGGTGGTGATCAGGTAAATTGTAACTGGTGTGGCGGTGATAAGGGAAAATATGACTGGTGTGCCAGTGATCAGGAACACTGGGACTAGTGTGGCGGTAATAGTTAGTCTGGCTGAAAAAAGACAAAAGTCCATCCAGTTCAACCATAGAAAAAAAAAAAAGTTATAATCCTATACCCACAGTTGATCCAGAGGAAGGCAAAAACCCAGCAAAGCATGATCCAATTTTCACCTGCTGGGAAAAAAATTCCTTCCTGATCCCCCGAGAGGCAATCGGATATTCCCTGGAACAACTTTACTTATAAATGTTAGTATCCAGTTATATTCTGTGTATCCAAGAAATAATCCTTTGTTGAAGCAATCCACTGAGCTGGCCAGAACCAACTCTTGAGGAAGTCTATTCCACATTTTCACAGCTCTCACTGTGAAAAAAAACCTTTCCATGTTTGGAGATTAAATTTCTTTTCCTCCAAACGTAAAGAGTCCCCCTTGTCCTCTGTGATGACCTCAGGGTAAATAACTCTACACCGAGTTTACTATATGAACCACTGATGTATTTTATACATGTTGATCATATCACCCCTCAATCTCCTCTTCTCAAGAGAGAATAAAATCAGTTCCTCTAATCTTTCCTCATATCTGAGGTCCTCCATGCCTTGTATCAGTTTGGTTGCCCTTCTCTGTACTTTCTCCAGTTCCCCAATGTTCTTTTTGTGAATTAGTGCCCAAAACTGAACTGCATATTTCAGATGAGGTCTTACTAATGATTTGTACAGGGGTAATATGATATATCTCTCTTTGGAGTCTATACCTCTTTTAATACAAGAGAGGATTTTGCTTGCTTTAGAAGTTGCAGCTTGGCATTGCATGCCATTATTAATGCATTACTGCATTAATCACTGCACTACTCTAGGGAAGTGGTTGGAATTTTTTTTTCTTGCTTAACCAGCCTCTCTATTCTTGTGCTGACCACAACTGAAAGTTTTGGATTTAACTTCACTTTCATTTCCAGTGACATTAGTTGGCAGGATCAGACCTGGAGATCCTGGTTTGGATTGGGGGGACCCCAACACTGTTTTTATTTTATTTTTTAATGCCAGCACTTGTCTGTTTACATTCTGCTGACAACGAAGAATTCCGCTGAGTCATGATTGTTAAGGATGCAGGGGCTGCCAGCAACTTAATAATCAACTATTCTTTACAAAGAATTCAGATCTGATTCGAAAATATTCGAATCCTGCCAACACCAATGAATATACAAAATGAATGCAGAAGATACAAAACGAGTTCCAAAAATGAATCGGGTCAACATAACAAATATGATGAAACAAAATTCTTTCTTTAACCACCTCCTGCCTGCCATATAGTCCAATGACGGGCGCAAGGTGGTTCTCTCATTCTGATAGGACGTCATATGACGTCCTGCCATTCTCACCGCGCATGCGCGGCTCAGGGAGCGCGCAGAGCGGCAATCGGCGGTGCTCTGTGTCCCTTGGACACAGCGGATCACCGATCATAGAAAGAACCAAAGATGTCGGCTCGGTCATGTGATCAGCTGTGTCCAATCACAGCTGATCACATGTAAACAGGGAAATGTCGGTTATCGGCATTTCTCTCCTCTCGAGCTGTCACGCTGACAGCTCGTGAGGAGAGGAGAGCCGGTAATCGGCTTTCCGCGAAGGGACATGCACACTGATCATCAGGGCACTGATGATCAGTGTGCCCTGATGATCAGTGTGGCCCAGAAGTGCCACCTGTCAGAGTCCATCAGTGCCAGCACGTGCCAGTGCCCATCAGTGCCACAATGCCACATATCAGTGCATACCAGTGCACATCAATGCCACAAATCAGTGCCCATCTGAGCTGCCCTTCAGTGTCACCCATCAGTGCCAGTCAGTGCCACTTATCAGTGCCAGTCAGTGCCGCCTATCAGTGCCAGTCAGTGCTGCCTATCATTGTCAGTCCAGTGCCACCTAACAGTGCCAGTCAGTGCTGCCTATCAGTGCCACCTATCAGTGCCATATATCAGTGCTATATATCAGTGCTGCCTTTCAGTGCCCATCAGTGATGTCTGTCAATGCCCATCAGTGCCACCACCTACCAGTGCCTCCTCATCAGTGCCCATCAGTGCCACCTATCAGTGTCCATCAGTGCATCTTATCAGTGCCCATCACTACAGCCTCATTAGCGTACATCAGTGAAGGAGATTTTTTTCAGTGGTTTTTGGTTTGTTTAAGAAAAAAAAAAACCCAGAGGTGATTAAATACCACCAAAATAAAGCTCTATCTGTCACAAAAAAATTATAAAAATTTCATATGGGTACAGTGTTGCATGACCGTGCAATTGACTGCGCAATTGTCATTCAAAGTGTGACAGCGCTGAGAACTGGAAATTGGCCTGGGCAGGAAGGGGGTATAAGTGCCCTGTAGGCTTGTGGTTAAAGAATGCATCTGAAACGAGACAAACATTTGAGGCTTACGCATGTCTAGTATAGGGTAAATTGGTCAGGCATATGGGTCAGTTTGACGCCAATAGTGGCCCATACATAGAGATCCTTTCAGCTTTACAGAATTAAAGCAGATCTGTACTGAACAAATATGGTGGCCTTTATTGCTTAAAGGATAACGTCACCTTTGGGAACATGTTACATGTTATAACCCGTTTTTAGGGTGGAACATGTAACATGTTCCCATGGCTGGCTGCAGATGCAGCGTGCCGCCCCCTCCCTCTGACAGATAATACAGGGAGAAGTTTCCCCATACTATCTGTTAAATTTGAAGACAGCGCAGCTGTTCGAGGCTCCACCCACTCGACCGCATCATTCATTTACAGACTTCTGTGAATAAATGAACTGCAAGTCCCAAGAGCCTTAGCAGTTGTTGGCTTGTAGTAGTTATCAATGAACTACCACAGTACTGTGGAGTGCTGTGGTAGATCATTGAAGCTTCCTGTCAGAATATCTGTTTGCTCGTACATCCCATACGGCAAGCAGATATACTGACAGATCTGCAGGAGCCCTGCATGGCATCAGCAAGTTACTGATCGCTGGTGCAATGCTTTTCAGGCTCCTGTAGACAAAAATAATAAATTCACATTTTTTTACCTGCAAAAAAAATGTGCATTTATTGTTTTTGTCTAAAAGGTGAACTTTTCCTTTAATCCTTCTAATAATACTAGTTGTATAGCTGCAATGAAATTACATAAAGAATTAACCTGAGAAAATATACAAATTCTAATTTTTTTTCTGACTTTCTGTTCTGCATGTTTGTTTTGGGTAAAAGATTAAGAAAGCCAGAAATCGCCAAGAAACTAGTATTCTTTAAAAGAGGTCAACAATGGCAGCCTCTACATTTCTTTCAATACAGGAAAGAGAGGGTGTGAAATTAAACCTTTCCCCTCAAACAGAAAATCATACATTACTTCTGACAACATCTTCCAGCTGACAAATTAACAAATGAGGAGCTGTTACAGAGTGCTATTCATCTTATAATCCGACGCTGTAATTATAAGCAGAGGAACATCTACAAGGAGTCTGTGTAAAAGAAAGAGTAACTTTACATAAAATAATCAAAAGAGAACTTCCAGTTGGAATTTTTTTTTTGCCTTATGGTAAATTGGAAACTCTCCCCCTGTGAGCTGCAGTATATTGGAGGGGAAACAAATGAGGAATGAAGAAGGCTTTGGTTCAGCCAGGAAAGGTGAAGGAAGGTTTTTTTTGTTTTTTTTTTTTTTACTTTACTAAACTTGTACATCACATAACTGGATTTGGCATTTGTTTAGATTTCGTACAGGAGCTTCCAGCTGTATTCCCAATTTTGCATTCAGATTTTAAAAAACCCCAACTATATGTTTTTTCATGTGTTCCCATGCACATAGCATACCTGAAAAAAAGTTTTAAAAAATCTTAACTTTCAAATGTTTCTAACAGTTAGATGTTTCTTACCTTTAGATGTTTCTTTAAGAGAAGACCTCCTGGCTGAATACAAGGATTTCTGGACAATGTCAGATTGAATCTGCTTTAAGGACAGGTTGAGTTTCTTTCTCATTAAATACTTGCCTACCAGGCACTTATACCCCCTTCCTTACCAGGCCAAATTTCACTTTGAATGACAATTGTGCGGTCATGCAACATTGTACTCATATGAAATTTTTATAATTTTTTTCACACATATAGAGCTTTCTTTTGGTGGTATTTACTTGCTGCTGTGTGTTTTATTTTTTGCGCTATAAACAAAAAAACAGCAAAAATTTGGAAAAGAATACGTTTTTCTTTGTTTCTGTTATAAAATTTTGCAAACAGGTAATTTTTCTCCTTCACTGATGTGCGTTGATGAGGCTGCACTGATAGGCAGCACTGATGGGCACTGATAGGCGACACTGATGGGCACTGATAGGTGGCACTAATGAGCTGGCACTGATAGTCAGCACTGATGGGCACTGATAGGCAAAACTGATGGGCACTGACTGGCGGCACTGCTAGGCACTGACTGGCTTCACTGCTTGGCACTGATTTGGAGGCACTACTGGGTGGCACTGATGGATGGCACTGCTGGGCTGCACTGCTGGGCACTGGTGGGTGGCACTGGTGGGCACTTATTTGCACAGGTGGGTGGCACTGCTGGAAACTGCTGGGCACAGGTGGGCGGCACTGCTGGGCACTTGTGGGTGACACTGGTGGGTGGCACTGCTGGGCACTAATCATCAAGGCACTGATTGGCACAGGTGGGTGGCACCTCTGGGCACTTGTGGGTGGCACTGCTGGGCACTTGTGGGTGGTACTGCTGGGCACCGATCATCATGAGGCACTGATCATGCGATGTGTCATTAGACATGGTTGATCACGTGGTAAAAGGCCGCTGTGATTGGCCTTTTACCGTATCATGTGATCAGCTGTGTCCGTAGGACACAGCAATCACAGAGATCGCCGGGGGTGCGTCCCCGGGGGCACGCAGGAGAGCGCGTTCTGGGAGGATGTCATATGACGTCCTCCCAGAACTGGCCAGCCGCAGAGATGCCGTCATTCGGCTAACTGTGGTCGGCAAGTGGTTTTTAAAGGATAAGTTCACCTTTTGTTATGTGTTACATGTTACAGCCATATTCAGGGTGACCGGCCCCTGCTCCTCCCAGCTAGCTCTGGGGGATCTTCTACTCCCCACTAGGTGTCACAATTTTTTTAAAAAATACGGCCATGAGGGGCTTCGTGCCATTCATTCATGATGTTCTGTGAATAAATGAACTACAAGTCCATAGTGCTGTGGAGTTCTCACTACCATAGTGTTGGAGCACTAGTTCATTGATTCTTCCTGTCAGTATATCTGCTTGCCCGTACATTCTGTATGGGCAAGCAGATACACTGACAGGTCTGCAGGAGTCCTGCATGGCACTACTGATGACGATCCCTGGTGCAATGCTTTAGAGGCTACAGAAACAAAAAATAATAAATGCACATTTTTTTATCCTGCTTTTATTTATCCTTTTTAAAGGTGAACATCCTTTAACATCCACATTTCTAAACCTTTAACCCATTGCTAAGACAGGTAGGGTTCAAATCTAGTTTACAGCCAATAATGAAGTTCTTCCTGCTAGTACAAACAGGGCTAATTATGCCAAACACATCTACCCTGCCCTCCTCATAAACAAAGAAGACTAGTATGTTTTAAAAATCTGAAGTTTCCAGGAAAAAAGCAACTAAAAAGGGTAAACTGCAATTGTTTTTAGTTATGTAAATAAGAGCATGTAACAAATAAAAAGTAGAAGTTATCCCAATTTGGCTGTAAAAGTGGAAATACACTTCAAGGTATATGTAGTTGCAGATAAAAAAAAGACTTGTTACAGCATTTCATTTTAAGTGATTTGTGTAGAAAAATGTGCTAAACTGACGTTTTTTTAAAGCTACGTTTTCTAGCAGTCAGTTTCCAGCAGTCAGAAGAGTTTTCCAAAGGCCCTGTGTACATGAGCCCTTAGGGTCACAGCTGGCTGTGCACGCATCTGCATTGTGCACGTGATATGAATGATCTTACATGTCTAGCACTGGTTTTGGCACCAATCACCCTATTTAAAGTCCAGAACAACCTAGGAGAGTTTCTGAGCAGCAGGGGCGGACTGACAATTCATGGGGCCCCGGGCAATAGAGGATCATGGGGCCCCTGTGTCCTTGCCCAAACTCAAAAAAGCCTATGAAAAAGGTACTAGGGGCATCTCATGGGGCCCCCTACTGACCCCGGGCCCTCGGGCAGTGCCCGAGTTTCCAAATGGTCAGTCCGCCCCTGGTCAGAACCAAGCTAATGAGTGCAGAGAAACTCTTTTAGCTATACTTGTCCTAGGCCAAAGCATCAGCAAGCTAGTAGTCAAAGAAGAATAACAAGGGCGGCCTTCATAGCTAACCTACAGATAAAATAAAATCCCTAATTTACATTGAGCTAAGGTTTATGGGCCTACTTCAAAACTCAGAGCTTTAAACAAACCACTGGCCCTCTAACTGGGCATGTTATATGAATATATGTTTAGGAATTCTTAGTTAACACTGAGACCCTTAAAGAGTCATTTTACATAAGAGTAGTAGAAAATGACAACGTAAAGGTTATGAAAATCTTTTCAGCATTGTTTATGTACATAAACTGAGTGATAACAGAAATTTGTAGATCATTTATCTTTAGTCTGAGAACTTTTAAACACTGTGGAAGTTCTCCTCCTCTTGAAACCTAATCCTGAAGGCATATGTAGGCATTGTTATTGGAAGAGTTCAATCTTGTAAGAGATATCCCATATTAATTATACATTGAAATGTTAACATGTTGTCTAAAAGAGAAGAATGTCTTCACATTTATCTACATTATTGTATTTTATAGATATAAAAGGAGATATGAACATTAAATCAATATGTAAAGAAATGAGAAGGAACTTCATGTAACTTAATTATAAACACTGATTTCTAAAACTTCTAAACAGCCAAATTTGTTTTTTATGCTACCGATGTTCTCCTGTAATTACAAGTTATGTTACAGGTAAATGTTTCTCAAGTTAAAACCCCTTTTTGGTGTTATATAAAAAGAGAGCAAAAATTAGAAAACAAAATTAATTTGAAAATATCAGAATCATAATTGTGAAATTGTAACTGGTAAACTTTGCTCTGGTCCATAGGCAGTGTACAGGTGTGAGAGCTGAAAGCAGTAATAAACCCGAAACCAAAATTGTAATATATTGCACCTTACCAATCATTAGATGTGGTGTCTGCATTAGTTTTCTTTTTTTCAGGCTTTTATCCCTCTGTTTTCACCTGGTGATCTGGCCAGTAACACACCTCCTGTGTTAGAGTGCCCCCACTATGGATGAATGAGCACAGGGGGCACCTTTGGACAGCAGCATTGCCATTCTGAGGGGAGGGAAGTGTTAGCTGTACTAGCAGATTTAGATACACAAACAAATTGAAGCAAAACTCCAGTGAACAGAAAAACCAACAGACTGGCTGGATCACCAGATGAAAATAAAAGAAAGAAAGCCTAAAAAAGAAAACAAATGCAGCCATAACCTCTAAGAAATGGTAAGATGCAATATAATGAAAGTTTGATTTTGGATTTAATACTGCTTGAAGTTGATAAAACCAGACGTTTATGCAAATTTGATCAGTTTTCCTGTTTTTATGCTACAAAACATATGGCTGCATATAAAATTACTGGGTCAAGATTTTTTTTTACCTATGCTTTCTGATTTTCTACAAATCAGACAAATCTACAATTTAAATATTCAAGAGAAGCAAAGTGATGAATCAGCCAATTTCTCTATTTTTCATTGCTGTTTCTGGAAAATCTGTGTCTGTCCTTTACTAGTGGAGAGAGAAAAACAGGCTTATCAATCACAGGATACATGTCAAGCTAAGAACAAGCACATTTTTTAAGTTCTGCATCTACCTTGAGCATACAAAATGCCTGCCTACTAGAATATTGTCTATCAAAATCCCAGAATATGCGTATAAGTGCAGGTTACATTTTCAGAAGCAATGACAGCTATGGCAGCCGGCCTATTTCTCCGATCATAGGTGTACATAAAGCTGGACTTCAGGCAAATAAAATTCATTGATACATCATAAGATGTACTTTTAATGCAACTAGTGTACGTCACTAAATTCAACTTGATATCAGCCTCTTGAAACACCCTTAGAGCAGCACTCAGTTTTGGAGAAAAAAGGAGAACACTAGGAGTCAAACAGATGTAGTCCATGCAAATGTGCTTACAAGGAGCAAGATAGTAGGAGGAGAGAGCAGAAGAATGAATGATCATCCTGCTGCTGCTCTTTTACTGTCCAGTCAGCAGACTGTGATGGAGAGTCCACAGATGAAGTGGTGTCATCCTCCTGGCTGTGCTGTTTGGTAAAGTTGTGTAAATATTAGGACCGAATTGGATGAAGTGGAACTTGTATATTTCTTTCAAATATTTAAATGGTTGCCTGGAGTTGCACTTTAAAGTGTATGTAAATGCAAAACTTTTTCCTAGTTTTTGATAAAGTGGTTGCGGATTATACCCTCTGAACTTCGTCATCAAGGCAAAAAGTAAGGGGTAATCCTAAATTTTACAGTAGTCATGAAAGCAAAAGGTGGGGAGAAATCTTCTAACTGGGGATGTATAGCCTGCCTATAATGAGAATTCCACTCACTCAGGGGGAATTTCCTTTTACTTACTGTTGGATCTCTAAGATAGAAAGTGAAATAAAATCTCTCTAGCAGGACACAGACAACAAAAAAACAACCTGATAGGGGATTTAACCTGCCTCTGTGATATCCAAAGCAAAAAAAATAGGTTTTAGCTATATATACACACATCAACGGTTAGGAAATTACCTAAATATCAAGGTGGATAGGTGCCACCAAACCCATACCTTGCTATCTATTTTTGGTTACTCCACACTTAGAGCATCATTCAACTTGAATATCTCTGTTGTTCCATATCCTATTTAAAGGATAAGTTCACCTTTTTGTAACATGATCCCCCCGCCAGCTGTCACAATCTGAAAAAAAAGGCTTCGCCAGCCCAGCCACGTCTTCCATTCACAGTGTTCTGTGAATTGGAAAACTACAAGTCCCAACAGCCTATGCAGCTTCCGGCTTGTAGTTCTCAATGAACAAACGTGATACTGTTGAGCACTGTAGTAGTTCATTCTCTCTTCCTGTCAGTGTGTATCTGCTTGCCCATACAAGGTACGAACAGACAGATACACTGACAAGTCTGCAGGTGTCCTGCATGGCACTGGCGATCTGCTGATTGCAGGTGCAATGCTTCACAATAAAACAAAATAATCAATGCACATTTTTTTACCTGCAAAATAGATGTGCATTTATTTATTTATTTATTTTTAAAGGTGAACTTAACCTTTAAGTACCCTTAAGTTACTTTTAAGAGGGGGGGTTTTTAATCAGTTTCAGCTGCTTGGGTGTTAATGAAATTAACAACAGGTGCACTAGATGGGCATCAATCAGGCGGCCCCCAAAACAGTAATGGTTCTACAGGTGGAGGCTACTTACATTTTTTCCCAGCTCATCTTTTCTGACTGTTTTTTCACTATTTTTGCATTTGGCTAGGGTGAGTGTAACTTACTGGTAGCATGAGACGATACTTGGACCCTACAGAGGTTGCCCAGGCAGTCCAACTCCTCAAGGATGGCACATCAATACGTGCCATTGCCGACAGGTTTGCTGTGTCTCCCAGCACAGTCTCAAGAGCATGGAGGAGATTCCAGGAGACAGGAAGATACTCTAGGAGAGCTGGACAGGGCCGTAGAAGGTCATTAAGCCATCAGCAGGACCGGTATCTGCTCCTTTGTGCAAGGAGGAACAGGATGAACACTGCCAGAACCCTAAAAAATGACCTCCAGCAGGCAACTGGTGTGAATGGGCCCTGTGCTCACTGCCCGGCACCATAGAGCTCAATTGGCATTCTTTTTCTGGGGTCCCACACTGGTGCTCCTGGCTCTTCCTCACTTCTGAGTGCCCCCTTTGGAAGCTACTTCCTATGGGTGCACTCGTGCATGGTTGATCTCGAGATAGGTTGTTTGCGTCTTTTCAGACACACAGCCCAGCTTGGCCCCACCCCCTGTTCTTAGCTCACAAGTTCACAAGTTTTCACTGATTGCAGCAGGAGCCAATGGCTCCCACTACTGTAGCCAAGCCAGTAAGAGCAGGGAGAGGGAGGAGAGCTGCTGCAGATGTGCACAACACTGGATCAAGATTGGGCTCAGGTAAGTATTTAAAGGGGGCTGGGTGGTGTGCTACTATTATACGTTTTTTCTTAGCTTAATGCACAGAATGCATTAAGGAAAAAAATCCTTTACCTTTACAACCCCTCTAAAGTTTTGGTTTTTTTTTGCATGCTTGAAATGAGTTCCAGTCATTCCCAAATACTTTAGTTGAAAATAGCATATAGTGTATTAAATGGAATGCATACACAAGCATTTATATATAATGTGGGATAAAATAGGGAAGGGTTAAAACCCTCAGTTTAATTTTTTTCCCATCTGTGGGAAGATTTCCTTTTACTTCCTGTCCTGGAAATGCAACAGGGAAGGAAAGGAAATCTAAAATTGTGGTAATTTCCCTCTAAGACAATTGTAGCCATTTGAAGACATTTTCTTACCTTCTGTTTTGGTGGATGCAAAAAAAAATTTCACCACTTTCTGACCCATTGACAATGGTCATCAGGGCAATTAGGGAAGGCAGATCTCCTCAGTGGGGACACATAGAGCAATATATATCTGACAGACTATATATTTATTTTTTTCAGACTATGCAACAATAAATAAACAATTTCTTTATTTTTTTCTTTTTTTTTTTTCTTTTCTCTCTTATCTGTCCCTTCTAAACTTGTCTTTTCATCATTTCCATCTAACCTTTTACATTTCATTTCAGTGTATTTTCAGTGCCTACTGGAAATCTACCCTGTAAAACTGTATGAACAAGCCTTATTTATTTGCTCATTGACCACCAGCAGCACTGTATTCTTTGTTCTCATGCTTCTTCCTTAATAAAATGTTATTTGACTAAAGATGTATCCATACAATTTAAATTAATATATTTTTAATGAAGGAATTTTAAATTCTACTTCTCTTCACTCTTTCACTATGAGCTAAGTTAAAATGATTTGCTTACCAAATGCCTGGTCTTTTCTTTGCTTTAGGTGGCTCTACCATAATGCTTAAAAGCAGCACTTGGGAATTGAGGCCATCTGCATTTTTATTCTGAATTATGCTTAAATGTCCAGTGTCTCCTTGAGTTAATATTTTGAAACCTGTTTCATATATCC